GCAAAAGCACTGCCCCGCATGCGTTCAAACCATCTTCCTCGTGGGTGCTAGATCACGTACTTAACTCGAAGATCACATCGGCTTGCAAAATTCGTTTTTATTGGTCGATTGCTAGCAACACGGGTGACTGACAGAACATGCATGCTTGAACGGTACAAACCAACCCGATTTCTCGGCAACTTTGGAATGCGTATTAGCATCAAGTTAACCAGACGGTTAGTCCATAAGACCCTGATTGTCCCCGATTCTTATGAACCGATTTGATTATAGAACACTTAATCTATTTATTGTTTTCTAATTTTATGTTCTGATTATTCCCTGTCAGCGGACACTGTGTGTTTGTGGCTAAGAACCAATTTTTAAAAGGCTGTCATCACAGACTTACGATAAAGCATTTAATCAAATTAGGCAATGAGTTAAACTTCTGTCAGGTCCATATTGACATCCTTTTATTCAAAAAGTTACTTTCTTTCTTAATGAGCATTCGTGTCCAATATGTCTTTACAATGCCCATTCCCTTCCAGATTACCAGTAAGTTCTCCGAAATAAAACATTTATGTAAAACGGGATATTTATCCCACTTTTGTATTGGATTATTTTGTCCGAACGGTTCAGAGATCCTTTTAGGTCTGAATGATTTTAATTTTTTCGGAATATATCCCTCTTTGGTTCTGAATTTAGGGGACTATAGAGGCAGGCGAGTAAACGCCTGATAGATCACATATCATGGAAAAATCATTCCTTAGCAACATGGTATTCAATAATCTGATCGCTGCCCTTCCTCAAATATTCTTGCTTCATATTACCTTTTATTTTCTTACAAGCTCGGATCTTTATAAAGATGATACGTTTGCCACGCCACGTGCGACAATTTGTGTGAAGTTAAATGTTACGAGATAGGATAAGAAGCTGGTAAAATATATGACATGTACGGAGTATCCCTTAATATTGACTGGGCAGTGGCCGTCATTGATTGGAGGTCAGATACTGAATGAGTCAGCAGTTTTCTATTAAGCTGCAGAGACACCATCGACATGTTATCGTTTGATAAACTGATCGAGCCGACATTCCTATGAAAGTAGATTTAGGGAGGGGGCTGATGTAACAACTTAGGCTAATTGTTCGAGAGTTGGCCGAAAACATCTGAGTGATGTCAAAACACTATAGTCCAATTATTCAATTACTTCCTTATATTGCGTAGGTATTATAATTTCTATTGTTTCATACGGTGTGTTGAAAACTTTGCGTGAAAGAAAAGATAATGTCGCACTTCAGATGTTTTGAATAAAGATCTGTTCGACTACCAGTCTGGTTTCTTCGGAAAAGGGATATCTATCCGCACAAAAAGCCCAATGTTATTCATTTTTTATGTATATGTAACTTGGTGAAAATTGTGGAAAATTATCCACTTTGAAACGTTTACAGATATTGCAAACTTCTAGATCATTCGAAAGATTTCCGTAAATGGTTTTGATGCCTCACACCACATTTCCCTGTGCACTTGTTTTCCAAACGTTTGCACTGACTCTAGCTTGCACGTCGTTATTTGTAACCATACAGAGAGACAGAGTCAGTACTATGTGGCCACGCCTACCTAGAGGGGACGTCTAGTCATTAGCCCTGGAAAAGGAGGGATGTCAACCAATACATTTAACCAGAAGATACGGCTTCCAAAATGAATACCTCAGTTTAAAAATGCACAAAATCTTCCGTGCGAAGAACCATTTATTTACAGAGATTTTCATGATAATTCTCAAAAGTACTGACAAACTGCGAGTTCGAGCCCCTTACCTCGGTTATGAATGGCATGTATGATCACTTGCAATTGCAACCACATGAAATTCCTGAGCTTTAGAAGTGCTCAAAAAACATGAATGAGTGTACCTGCTCTGCCGGCACACAAATTGACATGAAGCCACCTCAAGTGAGCTCGATAGCGGCTGATTCATATCGATCGAAGGAGGAAAGACCGATTTCAAAGAGACCTGTCCAAAATGAAAACTGAAGAAATGTTGTTTTCTCTATCCTCCGTCCTCTAAATGGTAGCCGACAGGAAATGCCTAGGTATCTCAGTCACAAGTCTAGACCTTTTTCTAGCAGGAAACAAAACCTGACGGCACAAGTCGTTAGTAACCTTCTGGAACCGCACAATGTGTTTGACGTGACTTTGGTTTCTACTTTAACGAATGAGTACAGGTTATGAATAAGAAAAGACATAACGACATGAAAGAAAATCCAACCCCCTCCCCAAAAAAGTAGCCGAGAAATTAGGGACTGATCACAGTGGCAGGTCAGTTATCTTTTATAGAATCAAGGAAAGTGAATGTTCAGAACCGAAAACTTGCTTTGAGGATGACATTAGGTAGATAGAACAGCTACTAAATCAGCTTATGTCTCAGGATATCTACAAAGTCAAACGCTAAAGGCGTCCAGGCTAGGTAGCCAAACGAAATTGAAACAAAATCAAACCTTTTGCTTAAAGTGGGGTTTAAATCTCCTAATGCACGGGACTTAATATTACAGACTGGACATAAAATAAAGGGGTCAGAAGCAAAATATACAATATAATATACACTCAGTATAGTCAGTAGATTGCACAATAGGGCCAGAGTCCTCAATTGACACAGCTTGGGACGCATTTCGAGATTTGTACTTAAAAGTTACTGCACCTCAAATCCCTTGGATTGCACCTAGGGGGCCGAGAAACTCTTCGCTATGGTTCAGTAGGGATGTACTCACCCTTCTTCGTAAGAGGGGAAGAATGTGAGACGGAGCTAGGTTACTGGGGACTGATGAGACAAAATCTCAATATCAAGAAGCTTGGAATATTCGTGTCTCGATCCTCCGTAAGTGTAGAAGGTTGTGCGAAGAAAAGAAATTACTAAGGAATATATATAATGCACTGAACGCTTGTATTCGTATATAAACCAAAAGACTCAAAAGAAGAGGGTGTTCCTTCACTATGGGGAGACAGTGCTGCCTCATCATTAGTGAAGAACGACTTCAGCAAAGCTCAAGCATTCTCAAACTTCTTTAGCAATATATATATATATATATATATACCGTAGAAACACTCTTCCAATCAGTCTACAACAGCTTAGGTTGATGAGTTAAGAGTTGACATCAAACAACTAAGTATATGTCAAAACAGTAGAGCTCAGGTATCCACTTACTTCCTTACTTCGTATAGGCACTATATTTCCCATTATCTTATACTAAATGTTGGGAAGCCTTGTAACAGGTAACCACTCGCTCCACTGTGACTGTCCCACGATCAAAATAAAGACTTATTCACTACTAGACTGGTTTCTTCTATCTGTAGAAAGGGGTTTACCAATAAGCACGGAAAGTCAACACAAATCCTCCCCACACAGTGAACAACGTAACCATTAACGAACCCGATGTTCTTGGTCTGCTAAATAAGCTTGACATAGGTGAATCCACGGGGCCTTGCAATCTAGCTACTACAGAAACCAGCTGCCTCCGTTGCAAACCCCTGAAGTATATGTTTCAATCTATCCGTAACCCAGGGTCGTCTACCAAAAGACTGGAAGAACGCCATAGTAAGTCCAGTCTTCAAAACAGGTACAAAACATAAGCCTGAGAATTACCGACCAATTAGCCTAACTAGTGTGGTTGTTAAAATTTTAGAAAAGATTATTCGGAAGGGGCTGTTTAAGTGCCTCGATGAAAACCGGATTCTTTCGAAGAAGCAGCATGGTTTCAGAACAGGTTATTTTTGTCTCACTGACTTATTAGTCGCTCGTGAAAGCTGGTGCGCTCTTAAGGACCAAAAGTTACCTATAGACGTAGTCTACATCGATTTCAGGAAAGCTTTCGACAGAGTTCCGCACAACCGGCTGATGAATGTCGGGATTGGAGGCAATCTATTGATGTGGATAAAAGACTTCCTAGTTGGGCGTCAACAAAGAGCAAGGGTGAACTCCAAGTTGTCTAGCTGGGAAACTGTGCTTATTGGAGTCCCCCAGGGTACCGTTTTGGGGCCAGTGTTATTCCTCCTGTACGTAAATGACCTCCCTCATCTACTATCATCATGTCTTACTCTATGCTGATGATGTCAAGATATGGAGAGCGATACAAAGCAAGGACGATAGCTTAGAACTTCAAAATGTCCTGGAAAGATTATCTGAATGGTCCCAAACCTGGCAATTGCCGATAAACACTTCCAAGTGTATTGTGATGCATATTGGCCACCAAGGTACAGATACATACATGATGAATAACACTGAGTTACCTATTGTCCAGGCACACAATGACTTAGGCGTCATCGTTAGTCAAGACTCAGAGACTACTGCACACTGCCGTGCAATAGCCGCCAAAGGTTTTAGAACTTTATGGTCCATACGCAGGGCTTTTAGGCATCTCGACGCCAAAACGTTTCTGACTTTGTATACAGTGTTCGTACGTCCTAAACTTGAGTACTGCATACAAGCAGCTAGCCCCTGCCTATAAGAAGACAGCGAATTCTTGGAAAGGGTTCAGAGAACAGCTTATTTCCGGAATAGAGAAGCTCCCGTATGATGCTAGACTGGCCAAGCTAAACCTATTCCCGCTGTCATATAGAAGAATCAGAGGCGACTTGATTACAGTTTTCAAATTGCTTAATGACAAATTTGCACCTGATATGCCCTAATTTTTCTTGTCTACCAAAACAGATAATCTACGAGGACACTCCAAAAAAGTTCACAAGCCCAGAACGAATTACTGAAACTGAAACTGAAATGGAGCACAAGAGCTACAACAGATCAGGATTATTCGTCATAATGTATTAGCTAAAACTGTTCAAAATGCGTGGACATCAACAAAATAGAGAAATTTTGGCATCAAGCTTGAAAAAATAGATTATATAATGCACACGATATCACGCTCCATGTGAGCGAAAACTGCAAAAATTACTTTCTATCATGCCGTTGTATTTCCTTGCAATTTATCAATATTTCTCTTTCTCCTGTTAACTATACTTATTTCCGTAACTAGATTCATCGGTGACCCACCATTTTTAGATACCGAAGCCTGCTTAGCGAAAGCTTCTATTCTGTCCTCTGCTATCTAAGCTATTTGGTCGCGCCAGATATATGAGCTGCGTTGCATTTGCTCTTTGCGTTTACTCGACGGAAAGTTTGAGTTATTGAGGTTCATCCATAGAGTAATATAATAGTTTGTATGCATTTGATTAAAACTAATTGGTTTAAGCTCAATAGGTAGTTACTTGGTTATAATAGTTTCGATACAAAGACCTTATGGTCTTGAAGTCATTTTCGGAAAATTTTAGTAGTGCACAAAGTTGCATCCATAAGTGTGTGACAAATATGACACACATGGGTTACTAAATTATAATTAAATATAAGAAGAATTAAAGTTACCATTTGATGTGGTGCTGTTGGTTGATAAGAAATTGTGTGGATATAAAATTCTCTCTGCTTTCTCAAACAACCAATGAAGGGGACATAAAGGAAAACAAAGAGAGAAAAAGCGTTGAAAAGTAAAAGGTAAACGCCCCAAATTATCTGCTTTTTCGCCTGTCCGAGGGAAGTAATGCAGTTTTTCCCCTGTATATCGCTCTGTGTTTTAAATGTCGTTGAGTTGTCGTATTTCCGCCTGAAAATACACCGATTTTGCTCCACTTTTGAACACATTCAGCATAATCCTAAACGTCTTCTGTGTTCGCATTTATTTCCATAAAACACCACACGACAACTTTATTCGACGTTAAAATTCGTACATGTTTAAAAAATTTATTAAAAAGAAGATACGTCATATTGTAAAACATTAGGAGTAGTTGACAGATGCTATAGCATAGATCGTCATGTATTTTAACTGTAATTGCCAAGTATTATTGCGATTTGAAAAGATCTATCTATCTATTATTAATTAGGCTAGTGTGCTAAATTACAAGTGCATTTAAAATCGAACAGGCTTTCTCAACATTTAGTCAAAGAGTTTCCCATAAAAGTAAGAAAGTAAGGGCATGTTTAAATTTTTTTTATTGAAAACGAAGGTGAACATTAGAAATATTCCACTGATTATTTCTAACACCTGTTCGACTATTGCGAATCAAAATAATCTTGTGAATTCTGAAATCTAAAGAAAAAAATTACAACGATATGTAAGTGATAAGTCTTTTTACACAACTACCTGCTTGAAGCTTTACGGTTATGTTAGATAACACTGAAGATTGTACTTATAAAGCAGTAGAGAATGGTTCACTTCAAATTAGTACATACATGTTCTTGTTTTCTTACGCTTTTGAAATTTGTATTTCATGTCGTGAAAATAACCTTGCGTCGTGATGTCGTACAGTTTCACAAGGTCTTTTTCGTTGACAGACAATGACAGGAACCGACTACTTAATGCGCCTGAAGTTTAAAAAAAGTATATTGCTTCGTATGCAGCCGTAAAACCTGCACTTCTGAAGTGCTCGTTTTGATAAAGTGCCAAGTAGCGTGAAATGACTGGCAACTTCAGGTTTCATGGTGTGCGACAAATTGTATCGCATTGACGTCAACATGGCCATATGTAATACGAACAAATGATCAAATTAGTGTTGTCGACTTACAAATCTGTCCCTTATGTCTTCCTGCTGCAGACAAGCGTCTAACGTCCTCATTTCCTCTTAAGATGACAAAAGGGACTGTTGACTTGATAGTCTGCAATCGAATTTCCGCGGATTTGCCCATTCACCGGACCTCGACAGTAGCTGATTCACATTGGCACTCAAGTCAGAAATACCCGACGATATGTTCTACAGCACAGTATTCAGTCTGTCAAATCGCTTGAACACAATATTTGAATTCAAGTATTGTGTTCATAGCTCAGGACAGACTCCCACATTTTGGTGATTCACTGGAAAAGTCACCAGTTATATTGTAGGTAGTTATTTTTGAGCTTGTGAGATCTCTTTTGTATCCCTAAATAAGCCATTCTAAAAGGCAAACAAACGTATCTCCTTATATAAAAGCATTTTTGACGCAAATTCTTAAAGGTAGCTTTATGATGAAACACTTAAGTGTTTACTTAAGGAATAGAGAATGTCTAGTCCAGATAATCTGCAGCCACTCGGAAACATTGAGATACTATGGTTTGACGTTGTTTGAGTTCTTCAAACATTTTTCAACAGCTTTTGTTTTAACCAGATTGGCTGCTTATATATCATACTCTAATTGTGGACAAAAGACACTCCGAATTCATAAGCTCCATGGTATCTAGATGACTTAAAGCCTCATTATTACCAAGAATACCGGTGGATATTTAACGGCTGTAACTCACTAATATTCAATAGTTTTCAAGCCGTGACTGATAGTAACCCTGAGACTGTTAGCTGTAACTCGAGATTACTTAACATGGATCCGAGAACGTTTCTTATTGAGCTTAAAGGCACCTAATAACATTTTTCAAGTGTGGGTTTGTTCTGGTAAATTCTCTTGATCTTTTTTGTGTCCCATAGTATCCTCTTCGTCTTGTTTTTTCCTCCATATCTTTGCCTTACAATGAGGCTAATGGTAGCAGAAGACTTGTAAAGTTATCCGCTTATAAAAGAATTACTGCTTGCACCCAGGCCATGTCCTGGAGAAATTTACCAAACATTTTCCAACCATACAACATGGTTACCTATACTTTATTTACACCCAACGAGGAGGTCATCTATTCACACAAGAGACATCCACTCAAAAAGGAACAATACCACTGTCCTTTTAAAATAACCTTTATTAAAACATTAAACTGCATTAATTGCTAGTTAGTAACCTCGGTTTTGTTTCATCCCTTCCAGATTATTGTCCTAGCTAGGAAACAGCGGTTATATCTGTACACCTTGCTTGTGTTTTCATATACTAACGTACCCCCAATCTACACACAAGCTTTCCAACGATTGGGAGTCGCATAATGTTAGATGATGAGTTCGCTGAGCTGGATGTGAGTGCTTTGCTGTAATTATGCTTTTGTTTAGCTAAATGAAAACTCTGAAAACGCCTTAAATGTGTCTTTAAATTCTGAGTCTTGTCTGCAAACTGGTTTTACACCTGAACGAATTGTCACACATGATAAATCACCCATTGACATTGGGAAAGAAACTGTAGTACGTTCAGCTTTATTTTGATGAAATTCAGAAAACTGTTTCCGATGTTGCATATGTAAAAATCACAAACCCTGCAAAAGTTGGTGAGGGTATTTCGTCATACGTAGTATATCGTGTTAATACAAAGGTTTGTGATCATAATAACCTTATTTTCAAGCTTAATGGCAAGGAGTTTTCAGTCCTCAGACGATTTTCTGATTTCCTTGGGCTGCACGAAAGGTTGGTCACAAAGTATATTTCTGAAGGAGTTATTGTTCCCCCCGTTCCTTCTAAAGATATGCTAGGTAACGATTTAGTTTCGTTTCAATGCTCTTTAGCTACAACTAAGGTTAAAATGTCAAAGGACGTTTCTGTAGAAAATGAATTTGTTGAACGCCGCCGAATAGCTTTAGAACGGTAAGAATTTTGTCAATCATTTCACAGATTCCTATCACGAGTACTCTCACATCCAGTTTTACGTATTGATGAAGATGTCTGTGAGTTCCTTCAGCATGAAGGAGAGCTTCCACGTGCAACAAACACCCAACTATTATCCGGTGCTGCAGCGATAAAAGTGATGAAAAATTTGGGTGATGCAATTGGAAAGCTTGCTTACAAAGTTGATGATCCCGAAGAGGTAAGTACTAGTAAAACTGTTTGAAGGGTTATTTTATATTTTATAGTACGATAACTGGTATCAGTCATTAAATATTTGTAATTTTTTCAGCTTCTGGGAATCACTGAGGTAGAGAAAACATCCGTATAGAGTATTTGGGAACTGCTAGTACTAATCATTTGAAGGAATTTTACCGCTCAATGAGCTAGTTTTTTTTAAGTGACAGTCCACAAATGTAGAAATAAAATAAAGATATCCAAATTCACCTATCACCGCAATGTGACTAAAATTAGTGATGCAACTCATTTACGTACATTTGCTTATCATAGTGACGAGAAAATAGAGTGCAGGAACTGATACAACTTGTTTGTACAAAATCTTTAAGATGAGTTAAAAGTAATTTGGCCAGGCCGCGGAGCCGCATATCAATGGTTAGTATATCCGAAAGTACGAAATTCAGGGAATATTTTAATTTTGAACGATTACCTACTCTGTAATGCTTATTGTACATTTTCAACAAAATCAGCTAACTTGTCCTCGAATTATGCAAAATACCAAAGGAATTTTGGTAGGTTGGGATGATTAATTCCTATGATGTGTTAATGTTTCTGATTTTACACATATGATGCTCCTGTTTTGGAAGTCACTCATGTAACTCAGTTACCAAATGTACAGTCTTATGTGCTCGACTTCGAGCTATACTGTCTGAGTGAGGGATATCGATACTACATGACTTCCCATACTGCGATTAGCGAGGCGGAGTTAAGACTTATAACCTACTATTTGAATGCTAAGCGCCTTAAATACTTGGTTACTGCTTCATGTAAATAATATACAGTCAATCTAGATAGACCGTTGCTGATTTTTCAATCACTTTTACCACTACATTTTGTCAGACTAGAACAAGGAGCATTTAATCTTCTATACTATGAAGTAGTTCATATCACATGATGCATATTTTTGGGATTGAAAAGATGAACAGAATGGAGCACTGTAATACACTGGTTTAGGTTGATTTGCTCCACAATATATAAAAAGAATTAACTATAGGGAAAAGCTCCTAGCAACATTGTACAAATAGATGGAAGATGATGTGTCCAAAGCTTATAAAAGGTTAGGGAAAGAATGAGTCTTGATTTCTTCAATCGATTTCAAACCCTGTCACTTAAGTTCCCTGATTACTGGATTTTATCCACGAAGTAGTCGTTGTGTATAATAATCTCTGTTTTGAAAAGGTTTCGTCGAAATCTGTTATAATTCTTCGAAAGTTTAGTTTGGTGGTTTCTTAAACATCTGTATTGCTAACAGTATGGATTTGTATTTAACCGGTTAGTTCTAGCCTTCTTGGTTAACAAAATAAAACATCCAAATCCACTACGTCGCATTCGCCTCCTAATAAATTTTATCATGGTTCATACTATATGGTTTTCAGAATACTGCTGAGGAGGTAAGTTAGTCTCTGATAACCATTGACCGTTATCATTTTAACACTGTGATTCGATGAATGTTCATTTTAGAATGCAATTTTGAAATATATATTATTTGCACTTCTTGATAAGATGCTTTGTGTTGTGATTTCCATTTCACTTTTTTTCGATTCATAATAATGGTTCAGTATTCACTAATAATCTTAATAAGACTCGAACAGATGTTCGGAAGCTTTCAATTTACCTTATATTATCTGAAAAATATGGTACAGTCTATGGTTTCCACTTAGACTTGACAAATAGTGTATAGTATATCGGCAATTTAATTATATATCAACCACCTTGGCGTTTGTTCAGTCTCTTTTAAAAACGGTTTAGCTGACTGATGAGCCTCAAACAGGGCTGAGATTACAATTTTTGAGTTTTAGAACGGTTAACTAGTAATTTCAAGTGATTTGTCATGATAATTTCTGCAAGTCCTATAATTATTAACCTCATTAGTGGCTACATTTTTAAAACGGACTTGTTACTGAAGTGACTAGGTCCACCGTGGATAAAAAGGTTGTGTACTGTAAATGGGACTTAAGTTTTATAAACTTTTCAAATAAAAATTGTAGAATGTTTGGCGTGTTTCATACATAAGTTGTAGATATTGTAAAACTGCGTTAGATTACAGCTATGTTTGCGCGACTGGCTAAATGTGGCGTAAATACCGGGTGACAAGTCAACAAGGCGATAAACAAAAACCAGTAAAGGCATCCAATGTATAGTCGTAATCATATACTTTCTTGTAAAAAATTTGCTGAATGATTAGCAGCGTACGATTTTTACCTTTCAGCGTAAGATATATGGGTTATGATATCAAATGCTAGGTTGAGATCTGTAAGATATTAAGACATGGTAGAGCAGTGTGTGAACTCTGTAGTTTGCTTATGTACACCTAATAATCACGCTTTTTTTATCTGGGTACCTAAGTTTTCGATTAGTTTCAACTTGAATGAGACACATTTGCCTTAGTTCTTTAGTTATGACACTAGAAATAAAAGTCTTAAGAGTCATGCACATTATCCAAAAAAAACTTTTAATTCATGATCAGTTTCGCTAGTGTTTTTAGTAGTATAATAGTTTATTTTGGATGTTGTCAACTTTCTATCGTTTTATTGTTTTTGGTATTATCAGTTTCAAACTAAAAAACAAGTGATTAATCCATTGATGGTTTATTGTTGCAGTGATAACTTGTAACCAATAAAATAATATTTAGGTATCGTAAGGTGCATGATAATACAACGGAACTGATATTAACGTATTTAGAGTTTCACTAGAACTTTATGTGGTTATTTGAAAACATACACAGGGAACGGAGAAGGTTATCATCAATCAATCAGTCAGTTAGTTACCTACAACGTAGGACCAGGCACGTTTATGCATCGCTCCAAGTTGCCATACCTCGTTAGCATAACGAGATGAACACCAAATTCATAGAAATAGTTAATTTACTTGTGGTAGTATATAAAAGAAAGATTGTATATAAGGTTATAGTATAGAAAGGAAGAAAGTTATGAAACAATTTTAATTTCACGATTTAAGGGATGTCAAAGAGTGCATACACCGACGTCATTGTGGTCGATTCTGAGCCATGTCACACAGAGTTTCCAACCATTGGTTACGATAGTCACGCGGACCCCAACCAGGTAGTCCGCATCTGCCAACATGGCTCAGACTGGAAGTTAGTGACTTCAAGCACTGATGCCACTTTTTGGTTTGGTCACTCCTAACTCTCTTCCAACCATCGCCAATACTAGTCATCATTAAGCGTCGTGGTAATCGGTGTTCAGGCATACGTAACACGTGGCCTAACCATCTCAGTCGATGAAGATTCACAACTTCATCAACTAATTTACTATCATCCCCTAACACCCTGTGTCTAACCTCACTATTACTAACTCAGTGATCTCGGCAGATGCGAGCAATATTTCCAAAACATCTATGGTCAAACACTAGTAACTTGCGAGTATCTTCTACTCTTAATGGCCATGTTTCACAGCCGTAAAGTAGAACAGAGCAAACTGCTGCACAGTATACTCGTCCCTTAATTGATAGACGGATATCTCGTCTTCGCCATAGGTGACGTAAGTTGGCAAAAGCCAAACGAGCTTTTTGAATCCGTGCTGAGGTTTTGTCAGATACCAACCCATTATGGCTGATCAGACTTCCAAGATAAGTGAAGTTGTCGACGCGTTCGACTACTTCACTCCCTATCCTTAGTTCAGGTGTTGACGCAGGCCAGTCCTGGAGTAACAATTTACATTTAGAGGGGGCAAACGCATTCCAAACATCCTTGCATTATTACTCAGTTCTAACAGAAGACTGCACTTTGTCAGCGTCTTCATCCTCATCAATCACTGAGGGTTTACAACATAAAAGTTACTTTTAAGCGACCATTATGTTTAGCGGTTTCCATCGCTATATGAATTTGGAATCGAAACTCCCGGTCTATCAAATCATGATTTAATTAATTGTGAGGCCTGTAGTCTAAGCACTGAAATTCAGTAATGTTTTATAAATAAAATCAGATAAATAAGTCTTGTATTCAATGCTTGATCATTTTTTCTTCACCTATAGCTTACCGACCATATCTTGCGTCTTAATTGTATTTACATGTAAATCCATTGTGTTGCATGTATGTGCTTGAACAATCAAATGCTTTATTGTTGTTTTGATAGATCTTTAATCAGTGTATGGTTATAAGTTATTTCTCTGTGCAAATCAATTTTTGATCTCTTTTCATAATATATGATTATATTTCACGGTATATATATATATATATATATATATATATATATATATATATATATATATATAATTTTTTTTCTATCGTTGCAGTGATAATCGAATTATGTATTATAGATTACAAATATATTGCTTCTTTCGTCTAAACTGTTTCTCAACTACCTAGTTTCATAAGTCATGATGGTCTATTCATAAGAGTGAATTTTATAAATTAAATGTTCTTAACGTAATACTAGAGAACTGTCTTTTACTGTCATCGAGTATTTAGATGATTGACTTTGAGGAAATAGTAAATGAATTGACTCTCAAAAAGTATAGATTTTGTATCTGTGATGATCTGTGCTTGGTGAAACAAGTATGAATTATTGAAAAACATATACGTACCTTACCTACGTATTTTCTAGGGTTAATGTTAAATTCCTTGGTTAAAATAATGATAATTTTAAAAATCGCAATAAATAAAGCCAGAGTAGCTTATGCACTGACGGTAGGTTTAAAATGTATTGTTTGATCTTGAGTGCTCTGTATGTTTTACTGACGAAACGAATAACTCAAACCTACTTAAAATCTCTTGGGATCGTGAAATGGGCAGTGGCTAGTTAGATTTGAAGTGTTGACTCAACACGAGAAAAAGTTCGGGAGTTTAGTTCGACTAATTAGGAAGCCGGGTTTTTTTTAGCTACAAACTAAGTCGAGAGCGAAGAGAAAATCTGTTTTATGGATTGCATGTATTTATATTGTGCTGCTATTCATAACTGGAATCATTAAATCTGTCTAACTAATCTTGTTACAATTTTTCTGTACCGTTATGGGTCATTAAGTACTGTAGTGTTTTAGTGAATCAGAAATACACTTGGCAAGTGTGTGTTGAGTTAACTAGTTCTAATTTTAAAGGTGGCATAATCCATGGTTATTTTTGGTAACAATTATTCGCTAAAGCATAAAACTGAACCCTATAGTAGCACTCTAGTTAGGTGTTAAGTCTACGGCATTGAAATTACATAAGTTATTGATTCACGTCGAAGATATTTTTTATACTAGGTTGTATAAGTAGAAGGATCCAGTAGATATTGTCAAGGCCAGATATGTGATAAAGAGGTCCTTGTCAGCTGAGATATTTGTGCATGTTCGTTGGTAGCCCGTTTTCTATTGACATTTAGAAGAGCAAGATAAATAAGCCTCGTGATACTTGAAATCATTACCTGAGAAAATTACAGGAAGTTGACAAAAATCAATATGTGATACATAAAGAGGCGTTTCCTAGATAAACTAATTTATGGAATTGAGAAAATAATAGGATTAAGAATGTTAAGTGACACAAAACGGAATTAGTTTCTGTTGGGATGACCCTGCATTTTTCTCGCAAGCGACATAACAAGCTCAGGGGTCATCAAGGAGCATTTCAACCAATCAGCGATTAATTAGAAGTTATGGGAAGTTATGTTACTAAAATAACGAAAATGGAAAAGTCACATGTGGAGATCCTGATTGGCTGATTTATACACTGCTACTATGTTTAGCAGTGTTCTAGAACTTTCAGTAAAACTCAAGGACTCTTAAATTACTATAAAATCCCTATATTTTCTGTACATAAATGAACCCTGTAGTAAAGTGCTTCCCTCACATTTTGTGCCTTTTCTCTGGTCTTCAAGTCGGTGTATAGTTCTAGCTCGGGGGTACGGAACTAGCTTAGGGAAGCGAAATAGCGTTCAAAATCGGCCAGATATAACAGTTTCAGATAAAAAATGTCTCATTTAGTTCATTTTCAGGAATAAGGATAGTAGGTTGGTGTACCTGTATCATTCCTTACAGTTTGTTTTCCAATGAAGGTCCAGCTTCTCCCTGAAAATGTTCATTGATGAGGCTGATATCACTCATTCGGGTAAGGCGTTCCAGCCATCGACCACTAGATGAGAGAAACAGAACCTCACTCTGAGTTTATTAGATCGTGGTTTTTAAACTTTCCTATGGTCTCGAAGATCATTAGTGCTGGAGGAAGCAAAAAGATGAGACGTATTAACAGCCAGATTGTAATTGCAGATACAGCACGGCGAAATAAGGTCACCTTGCGTTCTACGATACGATAAGTGCAAAAGGCTTATATGTTTTAGGTGCTTATAGTGAGCGAGTTTATAAAGACCTTTTATTAATTTTGTTCCCACACTGTGAACACGCTGAAATGAGTCAGTGTCCTTAATAAGACATGGACTAGCCGCTTGGATATAGTACTCCAGGTGTGGTCTTACGTAGGTGGCATATAAAACTCGAAAAATCACCTCGTCAAAGCTCGAGAGCGTCTTCATTAGACCTAAATGAGGAACCCTGTCAAGTGCTTTGCTAAAGTCTGTGAATATCACATCGACAGATACCATTATCTAGGGCTACTGTCCAATCCTCTCTCGCAATAAGTAAGTAGGTCGAGCATGAATGCCTGTCTCTAAACCCGTGTTGCTCGGGAGTTAACGGATTGCATGATTCTATGTGACTTAGTTCTAAAGCTGTATCTTCTCGCATCCATCATTTAAAGTATTACAACTAAAAAGTGAGATATTGTCCAACATACGGCGATGTAGTAGATCAATCAAACACTGGCCAAATGGTGAGCTCACACTTTCTATCAAGATTTGTTTTTCTTTTTTAAGAACGAGACGCACTCCATGGGTTGAAGATGTAAATTAAATTTCTATATATATATATATATATATGAATAAGCGTACAGATATCTCTCAATCTGGTTAGCCAATAAAAGCTTCCTCCTCACTCGAGTGGCCGGTCGGGCTAGTGCACAAGAACCTTGAGTATCACTATACAGGACACTGCACAACACAGCAGAAACTTCAGCTTGAACTACTAATTACCACCATAAAAAGAAAACTACCTGCATCATCTGCACTTCTCTTTTGTGATGTTTACAGTCCAGTCCAGTGGTAGACAAAAAAGCACCTTTTTTGCACTATACTATCTATCCATTTAATTACATTTTTCTTTGCTCTTCTAGTTCTTCTATCAGAAAGCAGATGAATTAGATGGCTGGGAAAAGCAACTTAAACGTCTTCACTCTTCGCTTCTTAATTTAGTATCAGGAGACAATGGTAGGTATTTAATTTATTTGAGTTTTTCTTCCAATCCAAATATTTGTGATCTAAAAACTCCGCCTGTAGCTCTTCGAGAGTTGCTGCCGGTCCCAAGCCCGGGTAAAGGAGGAGGGTTGGGTATGGGGTTAGCGACCCCATCCCGTAGAAAAGCTAACTCGCTAAAAAAACGCTAACCAGAAATGCTAGTGAGCGGCCTATGCTCCTCGACGAGGGGTAACAGGCGTAAGTAAGTAAGTAAGTAAAAGTTATAAAACATGTGATATGCAAATGACATTACATGTATATTGAATAGTTAGTGAATTTCCCGACTTTCGTCTATTGAAATGGGATCGTCTTAAACATGAATCTTAGTTTAATGTTTTTGTTGGTTAGATGTGTTGTTCTTTTGCTTACGGATGGTTATTGTTTGTTTTTTCCAAGAGATTAAACTTTTTAACGTGACAGTTTGAATAATGTTGATCATCATCGATAAGTTGATAAAAAAGGTAGATTGAGAAAGGATAATAAATTCCGACAGTTCAATTTTGACTGATTCTATGTATGGTAGTGTGGTGGTATTAGCTGAACTACTGTGGTGTGGTCTACTTATATCCATATAAGTAGTATATGGTGTTGGTCAGGCATAGAATGTATTTTGGCAGAAGACCGATGAGGAAAGAACTGAAACGAAGCACAATCGGTTGGAAAATGCACGAACAATGGAATTAGAGAAGAAACAATGAAGATTGAGACTGTTGGTTGTTAATTTGCAAATTAACTGTCCATTGTATGGTTTTCAGAATTTACTGAGATAGTCTGTAATGTTTGCTTAAATACATTCGATTGTCCCCAACCAGTGTTCTGTTCACTACACTACTATTGAGATATGTACCACGATTTGTTAGTTAGAAGTACCACCTCTCTAGGCCTTCAAGAAACCAGAGGAATTGTTCAGTGTGGTAAACGTCTAGTTCTCAGCTTCATTTATTTAATTCCAGAAGGCATGATTTGGACTAAAGAATAATAAATATTGGAGGAAGCCACCTGTTTTAAACGTAGTACAGATAGTGTAAACAGACAGATGGGAATATCTGTTATTTACCTACATTTTGTCAGAAATTGGTTACGTACCAGGATGTCTCAAATTATCCAAACAAAACAGACATCTTGGAGACGAATGTTAACAAAATACCGTATATTTCGAAAATATTGAACGAAAACTCAATAAGGCTCTTCATGCATGTGACATCTGTTAAATAGAAGATAGCACTTCATAACTAGCTCCTCTTAACATAGAGTTTAAAGATAGAATTGCGTAGTCGAATGTATTAACTACTTCATCTTTGGATATTATCAACTAGTGGCCTATAAATTTTTCACTTGACATTTTACAGTCTGTTATGTGAGACACCAACATTAGATAAAATCTTAGTAGTTTGCTGATGAGGGTGCTTTAACCAACCTTTTTAACTAATGCCCTTGTTATTTGAAGCAGCTTTTGTCATTCTATTAGACTTATCGCTAATACATCAATCAGATGTAGTGAATTCGCTGTATGGGAACCATCAAGATTTGGCGTGATGTTTTAGAAAAGTATTGTTGATAAGTCAATAAGTTTGTTAAGCCTTGGAAACTAACTTGGCTTTTCCGCGTGTTAAACACACCAAACCATTGTCTTCTCTCACTTGTAATTATTACCACAGCAGAAGATCAGAACATATCGTCAATTTCAATTTGCTGAAAGAGTGAACTGTAAAAGAACTTGGTATAGATTCTTACTGGCTCCAAGTATCCAGTTTAATGTTGTTGAGTTAAACCATTATTTGTTTCGTGTATTTAAATGGTATTTATATGGTAGTTAGATCCAAACCATGTATTATTTGGCCTTTATGGTCACCTGCTTCAAGTTGTTATTGTTTATAACAAACAAACACTGATGTTAAAAAATACGATACTTTTAAAAATGCACCTCAGTTCTCAAAGCACATCTTTGTGTCATTGAGTCACAAATTCAAATACCTCTCAAATTACAGTCTGATCAGCCACATAGTATCACTATTCACCATGTGTTAACTGAATCTGAACGCGAAATACACGAACTGATTTCTCAGTTGCATCAGCATAACTTTAAATTACACTTAGTTAAGAAACAGTTATTTGAATTTACTTCAGACCTAGCAAATGCCGAAGCTGGTTTGTCTCGTTCAGTTCTTCTCCTGGCTAATGTAGAAGAAAATACTGGTTTAGCTCAAGCACTTCATCATCTGGCAGAAACAGAAGGACATGTCGCTGATTTACACGCTTTACAAGCAGAAGCGCATACGTGTCATTTAGTGGAGTATTCTCGAGAATTATTAGGCATGGTCCAGGCCTGCAAGGTAAGTTTTTCTAATAGTTTTAAATAAATCGAGCATTTGGTAGAAAGTTAGTAATAATAATAATAATTTTGCGATGTCCCAATTGAGTAGGAATTTGTATTTCTAACGTATTGTGACTCAACCTAAGTAATTTCTTCAGAGTAAATTTATTTATCAGTATAGAGTTGTGGAGATTGTTGAGCTTTGATTGAGATCATGAATCGATCAATGTCAGACCACCATTGAAAATCTGGAAGCACTAGACGGCCGTTCCGTCCTGGTATTTATTTGTTAACGTGACAAAATATTTTTCTAAATTCACTTGGAAAGTAGATGTTGACTTAATGATTGATTTAAACGGTATGCAATCATGCTGTTTATTCGTAAACCATATTTTTATAAATTTCTTCTAAAACACTTAACAAAACTGTTGCCTTAAAATTCAGCTTTCATAGTGTACTCGAAATGAATTGTTTCTGGAAAAACTAGAGTTTTTTAAAGCTATGCAGACAGAGTGTTTTTCAGTACCGTTTTTTGTTTACAAGAGATTTGCACTCTCTAGTTTATATGTAACAGACTGTGATAGAGCTTTACTATTATCAGTGTAACCAGGTATTTGTTCTTCGTTTATGGCTTCAAGTTATTTCGTTATCTATCAAGTCCAAGTTGTCTTTTAAGCCTTTGGTCAGGATATCTGGAGTGTAATGTAGTACATAAACTAAAACATACCCTAAAATTACTATCTGTTAACTGTTTTCATAGTCTATTCATAGTCTACTATCAAATGTTTGAATTTCAAGCAGACTATTTCGAGATAGATATTTAGAATTACAGTGGGCTGTAATGTTTAAAAAAATCATATGATTATTAAACGTTTCACTACTTTGCAATTACGATATACTTAAGAATATGAGACCCCTTATTGGATAATTACATAGTGGCCATGAAACTTGCAAATGAAAAATAATATTCTAGTTAATATTCAAGTAGATCGTTTTAATTTAACTGTTTGTATTGTTATTTCTAAACGACAAATCTTGCTAATATTACTTCATTATTCTTAAAAAATTTCATAATACCAAGTTAAATGTATACAATTTAGGATGTTTTAAGTGAACGTGTACGAATATATCGTACATGGAAAACTGCTGAAGCTAATCTTCGTTCAAAGCGTGAACAGAAAATTCGAATGGAAATGGCACCTAGAAATGATAACAAAAAGATGGCCACGATAACAATGGAATTAGAAGATGTAAGATGATTTACTCCTTTTTTATACTGATAATTTTCATTTAGTACTAACAAAAATAAGTGTGCTCCTATCAGTTTGAATTTATTTTGAAACCAACTTGTCTTCGATCTAATGAGTGATAATGACATTTATTGATTTGTTATCATAATTAAGATGATCATTTTCTCACTTTATTAATTGATTTGTTCTAATTTACTGATGTTTTCTTACCTGAGTCAGACTCCGAATCATTTGTGATTCATATTATGAGTTCAACAATATTATTTATTATGTGATATCCAGAGAAACGATTATATCTGACAGATCTCAGTTTCATGGGCTCATGAACGATGTACAAAATTCGTGTAATATTATCACTGGCATCTTAGATGACTTTTAGCCCTGTTTATGTTGACGATGCTAGATCCCCAGAAGTCTCTTGGCAAACGTCCTTTTTTGTGAACAGCCTTCACTTGATCGCAGTTCACACCAATTTAGTCGATCGATTTCACATCACACACGAGAATAGAATATTCTCCTATTTTAACACGAAAATTATGTTAATTTAGTCGGATAATAATCAATTCAACATAAATAGAATACTTCACCATAAATACCAACAGCTTAAGAGATGGTGTTGTGATGTGCAGTGTTCGGAATCTGATACCGATGCACGGTATGCTATGCGTTAGCCCCCCCCCCAAAAAAAACTGACTATTTGAGCGATAACACAAGAGTAAACGAGAAAGTGTATTGGATTACCTAATGAAATGCACAAACACACCCATATATATACCAGTCTATCCTTAGGATATTGACTCATTTTGACCCCAATCAAATACACTTGACCTTTATGTCTTATCTAATTGCTATCGATTGACCTTTTCATTAGGCTACTTCTGATTGGCACTCCATATCAGGTTGTATTATTAATTAATTACTGAGTATATTAATAACTTGTTTTATAGTATATTCAAGTCATAGGACATAAACACCAAATATTACTCAAACAACATGTTTTCACTGATCTATCCAAAGAAGATTAAAATGATCTGAACCTATATGATCATCATTAGGATTTTTAAAATTCTAATGAAACCTTTCACTGTATTCCATTTGAAATAAGAATTCATTAAAAACTACTGGTGGATACTACGTTTTTGTTTGCCTTTTAGGTTACTCTTGATCCCAAAGTTACTGTTACACATTAGTAACTATTTAAAACCAAACCTTTTTCAATTTAAATACCCTAACATTTAAAATTATGTGCCGAATGGGAACCATATTTCTGGGAATAGATGGTAATTAAAAGTTAGCATGTGATACTCTGTAGGATATTCAACATTTTACCACCAGCTTTATTGATCTATGTACTTTCACAGCAACTTAACAGTTAAATTGCACACTTACTAATTAAGTATTCGATCAGTCATACGTAATATAGAACCTAGCACATATATGCATCGATCCGAGTTGTCACACTGAATTACCATAGCGAGATAAGTAAATACCAGAGTAGTCGGATTAGTAAATGACAGTGGTAGCGGTAGACATTAGAATCGACAGTATGATTCTAGACAAAAGAAAAACTTCATAAAATAAGAAATTTTAATATGATTTTGAAACTCAAGATCTAAAGGAAGACGAAGAATGAAAACATCAGCACTAGTGCTATTAACTCTAAGTCATATTTTTCACAGTGTCCAACTGCTGGCTAAAATAATCGCGCGGTGACCTCAAACAGGTAGTCTGCATCTACCTACATGACTTAGTCCTATAGTCAATGACTTCAGGAACCGATACCACGGGTGTCAATTAGCAACCGATATCAATGTTGTCATCATTCCCTCGATGTTAATCTACTTCTTTGGTGCTATTTTAACGTATAGTCTCTAGACTATTTGCCTTATACATAGTGTTCTTTATTCACTTACTCTCCAAACAATTATCTCATCTTACAAATTTTTCTCGAATATTTTTTATGTTAAATGTTTTAGAATAGCTTGTACCATTTATGTATGCACGATTGTTTTTATTATATAAATCGAGGTTTTTGTTGTGATTACCAGTTTGTATTTCTTTGCATATTTCATTTTGTGCATTACATATAGTTGTATAGTTGTATTCTTTTTTTCTTCAATTCTTTAAAAGCTTGAAAATCGTGTCGATCAAGCTCAGCATAAATTTAATAATATATCTATAAATATTAAAAAAGAATTTCAAAATTTCGACTTGAATCGTTTTGCTTATTTCAAACAAGCCACTACAGAATATTTAGAATTGTTATTACAAATTCAACTAAAAGTAAGTGAATATTGTTACCTATGACTAAAACACAAATACAGGTTACTATTTTCATAACCACTTTGTTTTTAATGTTATTGTTTGAATTAACTTGTTATGATGGACATTATTTTCAAACCATACTTAGTTAAAAGTTAATCCGATACTTGTTACTATTTTCATGGCGAAAACTGAACTGATAACAACTGGGAAACAGTTAAAAGTTATTTTCACGGTTAGTTGTTGTAAACTATACCAGCAATAATCATGTTCTCGCTAGTGACTAATTGCAAAGGATAATTCACGAAATTCTACTGAGAAGCTATGACCGGTGAAGTTCAACCATGTCGAGTGTGAGGTAAATTCCTACTGCTGTCATCCGAACATGGTTGCTCAATATTGTGAATTGATCGAAGCTAGACATGTAGACCCAGTGGTCGGTGGTTTTAAGGAAGATCTGAACTTTCTCGATTTTATCGGGAATGCAGTCGTAGATACACACTAATGAGAAGTTCCATACTAGGGCAAAACAACTGTGCAGTGTTTCCTTGTTTTTATTGTTTACTTAGCTAAAATCAGTCCGTAATGCAAACTATGAAAAGAAAACAGAGTTTTATAACAGTTATTTCTTGTCCGCCCTTCATTTAAACAGTGAATCATTAAATATAACATTATCTTTAAAAATCACAAATATATTTAAATTTGAAATAAACGTACTTGACTTCTCTTTACATTATCTTTTGTGTACGTTAAACAATAGGTGTTAGAGAACTGGGAGAAATATTTGTCTTGTACAAACGGTATCAATTGATGGATGCGCATATATGCCTTGTTAACAATTTTTTTCTTCTGAAAATGAAATATCCTTGGTTTTGGAATTATTTTTCCTCCCTTTATTACACAATTAATATTCCACACTTATTCTTCCATTGGAATTTTAAGTTATATATGTATGTTAATTTCTCATCACTTGTGTACACCTAACACGCACAGACAGATAATTCATGTGTATACACCTGTATACTGACTGTATTTTGGGTAATTAATTCTAAATAATCGCTTGGATATGGTGGTTGTGATAAGTCTTTATTTTTTCTTCTGTTAATCTTTTTATAATTTATTCAACTCTTACATTGATTTCATATCTCTGCCATTTTGATGTTGATTTAATGCATAGATTTAATGATCACATAGTGTTTTAATTTAAAAAGTAAGCAGTGGAATTATTATGGGATAACAAATATTAATAGATGTAGTAGGAGTACAGAATATTAAACAATTTGATGACAATTCTTTAACAGGAAAGTTTTTGCAAACAAGCATTCTACTATGTTTCCTTCTCTTGTTGGAACTTCATGTTAATTACAAAGTTTGGGGAAACTGGTTTTTGCACAGAACCGCTTATCTTGTACTTTTGGTCATCTCTCGAGGTAATCGATTCATATCCAGTAATCTAAGTATGCAGTTTATGTTCGTTTCTCTCCATTTATATTTCACTGCATTATTATCAACTAATCTACTAGGCATAGGTCTGTGAACTTGAACTCGAAACATATCCTAAGAAGGAGGACTAGTAGTACTACCAGGTTTCTCAGACCGAAGTAAGTGGGGCGGGGTTCAACCCTGCGGCTTGGTGGCCTTAATTTGAAGACCTCGACCACTAACCAATCGCTCGATTGCATAGCATATAATGTTATATACTGTTTCGTGAGTCGGTAATTTAACCATTCTGATAATGTTTAGTAGGACTGATTAACTGCTCGTAACTTAACTGTTTATACTATTATAGGATATGAGAGACCGTTCCTAATGATAGTCTGTCTATCTACAGTAATTCAAAGAGATCATATGTCTAATTAGTCACAAACAAGCTGACTACCATTAAGATGAATTATTGTACAATTTTTGTGATTAGCATAAATGATTCACCAGGTAGAAGTTAGTCTTTCATACGGTTTAGATCGATTTAAATGTTAAGGTAAATAGTTGGATTGAAAGTTACCTGTTCAATGTGTGTATATATACATCATAATACAATATAGAACCAGTTCACGCCATTAGAATATATATAAATACATTTTAATGTAGAGAAATCACTGCTTAAACAATGGAAGCATGTTTAATGTGTTCTTATGGTGAAAGTTTGGAAAATGAAATTTTTTCTAGGTACAGTATGAATTATAACAGGTCAATAGCGGCTCAGACACCTCAGTGGTGACATCTTAGACTGTGAAGTTGTGTTACTCAGGCCCTAATCTCATAGGGAACATCAGCTCTCAAGATATCAGTTATTCCTTGTTAATGAATGTCAACTACTACGAAATCAAGGTCCAGTGTTTCTTGCCAACGACCAACAAAAATCTGACATAGGATTACAATACTTTTCACTCTTAGTATAATCACGAAATGTCTTTATATTAATACTCAAATATTTGAAATTAGAACTTATCAGTCGACATTAAGGTAACTGTGCAGTGTGAAAAACCAAAGATTTTACTGGTTTATGCCGACGTAAACTTGCTATCAGTTGCTAACCATCAAGTAATATTCAAAACGTTTGCAATTCTATCATTTATAATGGTGATAATAGAATACTCTATCACTAAGTTGTGCATGTTTGTTACTTGTACTGTTACAAGATACTAGGTTTTACACTTTTTGTCACCTGGATTTCTATTCAAAAGTAATCAAAACAATAGTCAGTTGTCTAGGTACAGCTGGCTGTCAGATATTTAAAAGTAAATGAATAATTCATACCACAAATTACAAGATTAAGTCTGTGTATCTTCTGGTGTATGGTCTTCGGTGTTTGCTGGTTCAACAGAGACTTGTTTGTAAGGTTTTTACCACATATACTGTAGTTACTCGTTAGGAGTAGTTTGTTAACTTGCTCAGGCCAAGTTCAAAAATTATTAGTATCATAGATAAGTAATCTTACTTTCTAGGCCAGTAAACTCTACATTCTTTGCAAATCTTTAACAGTTGCATGAGTAGACCACTAAGCGAAGGAATAAATCAACCAAGTATTGTAGTTTTACTTAGTTTGCCCTTGAAGCTGTACAAAATGAAGAAACATTAGTGACTAAGGACTGCTTACATGAATGTTGGTATTGTCATATATACATCTGTTCATGAAATGGCAAACTGATTAGGAATAAATTTATTTTGAAAATTTATCCTTATGGTTTAATAAAAACTTCAACATCAATGTTATTCACACAGAGAGTACTATCATTCAGTGTGGACAATCTTGAATGAGGTTGGTGATAGATACTGGTTTGTATCTACCGTCATATGTGAGGTCATCAAGAGCTTTTATTATTCTATTGATAGTGATTTGGAAAATAGGCAGTAATTGCTTGTTGTAAAATTATATTTCTTCACACAAACAAGCTTTTCATAGATTAAAGTTTGAAAAAAATTCAAAGCCTTTCAGCCAACTTGAAGCACCTGAATAACATTTGAATTATGATGGAAAAGGTATGTGAGATTAACAGCTGGCTTATGCCGTTTCAGCATTAATCGTCTCTAAAACACACCATGACCTGATTTTCAAGATGTAAAACAGAGATCTGGAAACTGATAGGCTCAGAACATTATCCGAACGATTCGCCAACAGCTACACCAGTTCTTACTATCTTCATATCATTTAACCAAATAAAAGTTTAGTATGTTGTGTTTCGTTAAAATGTCGGTTTGTCGAGATAAATTAATTTTGAGCTTGACTTTGAAATAGGGAAATGGTTAGCTTCTATTGTTTCAGTTCATCCAGTAAACTTATAGGAAAATTCTGATGTTTACTTAGTCGTGTAGTTCCGTTTGCGATCTTTTTTCAAAGCGATTACAAGTGTGGTTTTTATTTGAGATCATACAATGAGTAAGTTATGAGTTGCTAGCATCAGATGTATCACCTATGATTGGTAACCACTATACTCACTTTCTTCAGTTTACAATATTAGAAATTCTACTTACCTATACGACAACTAGTTCCCTGTATATCAGTGAGTTAAATAGTTTCACTTGTAAAGCTTTGAAGCTTTCCATTGTGGATGTTATGGGCTGCAACTGATCAGTCTCCTCTGGTGTATGTATATTTCAAGCGGATTGTCTAGATAGTGTCTTTAAATCACAAGCATTTTCAAGCGAAGGTTTCATGGCAGCTAACAGTGGGATAGAGGACACGCGCGTTGTTCCAGTTGTTATTCATCAGCTAGATATACATGCACCCCAGTGTTGATATTCCCACCAGAATCTGCTGCTTTCTGTATCAAATACCAACGTATCATCCGCTGGGGTACTGAGGTTGGTCACCCACTAGGTTGTGCACAGGAGACCAACGTGAATTTTACTACTAAAGATTGGATTGTGAAAATTAATGAGCTTGACTTCTGATGAGGATATCAACACTGTAGGCATATCCGGCAAACGAATAATAAATAGGACGAAATGCGCGTCCTAGAATTCTTTGCTAGACGCTCTCAAAACTTTGCTTAAGAGTGAGTGATATAGCTTAGTAAAGAGAAGAAATGTCCAATAAACTGAGTGAAAGGAAATATATGAGTCTTTTATTTACGTAAATCTTGTTAATTAAAAGAAAAACGATATTATTATTTTAATCGGAAAAACATATGCTTGTGCGAAAGTTATTTTAAAAAGATGATTAAAAATAATCATTTTTTGCGTATAAAATTCAGTAAATAGTTGTCGTTTCAAAAAAAAATAAATCTCCGCAATTTTATTTTTGTTCATATTGTGCAATGTAAACACGGGTACCAGAGGCAAATGCAAATTGTACCATACGTTTGTTACTGCTATCATTTGTTTTTGGCTCAATGAAGGCCAAGGAATAAATACCACTTGTCAGTTCCGTTACTGATCCAACGACCTGAGTATTTAATTAATCAATGAACGTAAAATTACAATTTAGTAAACATTATTGATATAACTGGATTGATACTGTACTAAGAACAGACTTATAGTGACAACACAGAAATCGACAAATACTGCTGATATAAAAAAGCTCCTTATGTCTCGTTGATCTTCGACAATATAGTAAAATAACAGTCTGTGACTGTGAAGAATTATCACTTGTTGATAACGTAGTTTTACATATATCGTTAGTTGATCTAAAATTGCAATGAAAAGCAATTGATTGTCCAGCGGAAGAATAGCTTACTCAAGTGTTTTATTCAGACAGAATACCACCAGTAATCTAGATCTAGTATATAAAAATTTCTATCTCAGTGATGAGAGGCCTAAAATGATAGTTTCTAATTTATTCACCTCATAACAGTTCTATATCCTGCACATGTAAGAGAAAGCTATTAAATGATCTATAAAGTCTTTTCGATCGTATGGTTACAAGTTCCGATTCCCCATAAAATGCTTTTCTATCCTCATTGTAAAGCAGCCTAGTTTAGCATGACGGAAATCCTGATTTCCACCTGTTATTGAAGTGGTAATTCTGAACATAAGAAGCCATTGGAACTAGTCAATTAAAATGGCTATAGTATAAAATTGTCAGTTCAAAATGTATTATAAATGTTGAACTATTGTGTTGATGATCTACAAGAAAGGATTTCCAAAAGTGTTTATAACAGAAAATTATTTGTCCTAGTTCGTTCCTTTTGAGTGTTCAATGAGTTTTTCATATGCTTTCTAAATCAGATCAAATGGTCAAACTCAACCAGCACTATATAAGATGCACGGATTCGGTTCTGAGAGAAGATAACAGCTTAGTGATTGCATATACGACATCCAAGTAAATATTGATGAAGACCCAATGAAAATACAGGGCACTTTGAATATTGCACTGACTGACTTAAAATTCGAACGGAAATCAAATAAATTTAGAACTCACATTTAATGTGAAACGACTGATAAGTTTTAGAATATTTGCATCTGACCCACCGAATGCTATGTAATACGGTCCAAGCCATTTCGCTACATAACCCTAAATATATAATAGAAGGACAAATTATATATATATATATATATATATATATATATATATATATATATTGACCTAGTTACTGAATCAACTTTGAAATGAATCATATGTTGATAAGTGCGGCACTGTGCATTTACCATATGTCAGTCATATATCTTTTTAACTAATCGATTAGACGATTCATTTTATAGTTTATATAATGGGTTGACTTTAGATAGATACAAAATTTAATTCTGATC